CAATTTCTTCTTAACTTTAACCTTGACAATAGCAAAACTAGTACTCTCAGTAATTATTTAATCCTATCATCATCCTGGATCTTTTCTCATGTATTTAGCAAACCTTCTTATTTTCGTACTAATAGTAGTCAAGGAATTGTTGACTACAAATCAACCTTCCCTAATTAATGGACCCAATACTCTGACCTTGCCCACTATCTCTTCTTTCAACACCATATTTCTATATATATTCACACTTCAGAAAGTATTGACACTATCTAGCATAAGATACAATACTGTATTATACAAGCTGCTACTCAAACTCTTTCAAACAAAATAACCTACAAGCATAGCTATAACCACCAATATAGTTTACAATGCACAGCACTTCATATTGGTCTTAAAAAGTTAGCCTACTTAATCAAAACCATTAATAACAATAATCTTAACCTATCTAGCATGCACTTATTTCATATCAATGCCAATATATTAATTATTAACTCCTATGCCAACTATAACCTCTAATTTCTTACCTCTCTTGACTACTCAACTATTTAAACATAGTTACAACATGCATATAATGTTTGGAAACAAATATCTTATACATACCACATTGAACATTCTCTTCATCTTAGATATTAGATTAATGAAGCTTTAGAAAGAAGATGCAAAACTCTTGTATCTAAACCAAAACAGGCTATAAACAGTATACTAGACCATTATCAACCTCTTGTTTATTTCTCAAATATCAAACTATTGAACTAACTCACTACTAATCTTACCCAAATCAAACAACACATACAATCTTTAATTGAACTGCCTACAGACTAATTAACCAATTACTCTTCAATAATTTCTGGTATCAATACTACCTTTCTTTCTCACATATCAATTCTGATTAGTACACTCTATTTACTCAACCTATTACTTTGGAGAAAACTCTTCTAACTATCTCTCAACTTTCTAATAACAAGGCATGTAGCCCTACTGGTATTAGCTACAAAATAATTAAACACCTCAATCACTTCTGTATCTTTTCTCTCACTGCTCTTTTCAACTGCTGCTTTACTAATAACTATATACCAAAGCAATGGAAAAAGGAAAGAATCTTCCCTATCCCCAAAAACAATGCCTTCGATAACAACCTAAACCTTACTCATCCAATTAGTCTTATTGAACATACTTGCAAAATTTATACCAAAATTCTCACTAATAGACTTAGCAGAGTTTTTATACAACACTCTATATTATCCCCCTTCAATTATGTTGCATTACCAAGTAATAGCACATCTACTCCAATTCACATTCTTAATAATCTAATTGAAGATGCTAACAGTAATTACAAAGAAATATAGATCTTTTCTCAAAACATAAGTAAGGCATATAACTCTGTAAACTTTGCTCTTTTCAACACTTACTCTCTAGACTTGCCCTTTCTCCTGCTATTATTAACATCCTTACCAATCTACTAACCAATCGCCAAAATGAAGTTATTACCAATTTTGGTTTAACTTCTTCATTACAAGTCCTTAATAGTATTAACTAAGGTGAAACTATAACTTCTCTTCTGTAGTGCATTTACTATAACCCACTTATATCTTATATACAATCATCCTTCCCTAGCTACATAGCAAAAGCTTCTTGGCTTATCAATCTTAAATAACAAACTACCAACCATGCCAAAGTCAATTGCTCAGTCTTGGTCTATATAGATGATACCCTCTGGGTTGCATTATCATAAACTAAGCTATCTAATATTATTGCCATTGCAAAATTATTTTACTTAATAACAAATATACAAGTCAACCTATTCAAATTGATTCTTACTACAAATACCAATCAAACAGTCATAGCCCAACCTTATTCAACAACTAAGCTCTACCTATTTGTCCTCCACAACAACTCTTCAAATTTTTAGGCTGCTGGTTCACCCTAAACAACAAACAATCCCAACTTATAATCTCTAATTCTTCACAATTAATTCAAATTGCCAATACTAAATGCATTACTGATATCCAGGCTCATTATATTATCAATAATTTTATTATCCTCTCTATTGAATACTGACTTCAAAACATCATTCTTAGTCAATCTCTCTGCAACAAAATTCTCTTTTAACATATCAGTTTTGTTAAACATAAAGCCAAACTTAGCCACACTATCCCAACTAGCACCCTTCTTCACCCCAAATTTATAATATTAAAAATATCTGGAATATTCAACTTCAACATTATATTCCCAACTTCTTTAAATAGCTAAACAACAGAGACCTACTTGGGTTATTAACCCAAATTAGAGTTTAATAGCTTCAAAACAATCTTTGGTCCCCTACTAGCATTTTACTACATCCTAACCTTATAATTGATGGACCAGACAAGCATGCTACAAGCTTTAAAATTATACAATTTTTCAAATCCATTAATTGCTTCTTTAACTCATGCCCCTATCTGCCAATACTATTTACAATTCAAGAAGGCTCAATATCTCTTAAGTCAATTCTTGGCCTTTACTCCAAATACTCTACTTTTAAAAAGCAACTCTGTTATTACCACTTACTCTTTCTTGACCAACTTACTACATCTAACAACTCTTGTCTTCTAGACTGAACACATATCTCTCCAAGACTTAACAAAATTCCAAAAGGAAAAATACCTCTTTGGTTTATTTATCTTGAAAGTCAAACTATTAACTCTTTTGAACACTTCTTTATACCAGACTATCGACTTCTTTCTTCTAACTATTATAGCTACAACACTGGTTACTTTTACAAACACTCCAAGCCATGGCTTATTACTTTTATCAATAACCAAATAGTTATTAGGAAAGCTCATCGCCAGTCAAATAACTCTGGCTATACCTTAATAAACTACTGGCAATGCAATATAACAAATTACCAATCTCAACTATATCTCTTGCTCTCTATAATTACAGCTTCATGTTCCAATTGTTCTCTAAACTCAAATATTATTGCCAACAAGTGTACTGTTCTTATTCCTACTAGCTATGCTATAAAATTCTTTGGTAGATTCAATCCTGACAAAACACTTAACTTTCATGCCAACTATCTTGATCTTTTATATTCAATTCTGCTCTCAAACTCAAGTACTCCTATTCTCTATCCTAGTATTAATATTTCTGCTACTCTAATTCTTTCTGTTTTTAATCCTGGCCCTGCCTTCGACACACTGCAGACAATAGCCACTCAAAATAGTAACCAAAATAACTTTACCTTTTACACTAATAGCTCTGTTCAAAATTTAGATAACTCTCAATACTTCATAGGTATTGGGTAGCTACAACTCAATAACAATATACTACAATATACTTTTCAAGCTCAAATTGAACTCTGGTCTTGCTCCTTTAAAGCTGAACTTCTAGTAATCCTGTTAGCCATCTCTATAGTTCCAAAAAACTTTGTTATTAATATTCACACTTACTTCTAATTTGTTATCTCTAAATATAACAGCCTTTTATATTCTAATACAGCTTCAAACTTTTCAAACATTCTATACTGGTCTATTTGGAATATACTTCTAAAACTCTTCTCTTCTCTAAACCTTTCTATTACTTTCTACAAAGTTCTAGCATATCAGAATAATGAACTTAATAATGAACTTAATAACAAGGCTAATGAACTAGCCCATAATCACTTTGAGTCACTACTTCTTATCTTTAATCTAGGGGTTGGACCTGGGTAGAATTGTGCTATATGATATATGATAATTTATCCAGATAACCTGGTAATTTAATAATACCCGGGTAAAGATTTTCTCAACAGGTCCAACCTCTACTTTAATTCTTACAACATATATAACTCTTTAGTTATTCTTATCTTCAACAACTATCTACTCAAACTTTCTATCTGGTAAAGCATTTGAACTATTTGCAATGCAAACATTTATGCACGATGGTCATTCCAACATCATATGCAACAATAGTCTCTCTTCTTTTCTGATATCCACTAGAATGCCACCTGGCTTTATCTGAATAATAACCAAAAAGTTTTAAACTATGCATATAGCTTCCAATTCTCTACTCTTAAAACATTCAGAGTTAAGCTATTGCTCGATGACCTCCCATTTCTATATATTCTCTACCAAAGATATCCCTCTTATCTAAACTCCTGTCACATCTGCCAACAAGCTACTTATACACTCCACTAGGCTACTTGCCCTTCTCCGGAGCCACTACTAACTTTACTTAATATCTCTCTGCAACATATCTTGATGTTTTGCAATCTTCAAATCTCATGTACCCAAACATAACATCTTCTGAATCAAATTAAAAACCTTGACAGTTTACAAATACACTCTTTTAGTTTTAAACTATCACTGTTTTTTACAATTTCAGGCCTTGTTCTACTTAATATTATAAATATACTACAAGAATATACTTTTTTTAAAAGTATTACTTGTTCTCTTACTATTTAATTTCTTCTTTATTTAAACCAACAAATTTATTCTAACATCTGGATTTCTTACTGTATCTCAAGATCACAGTTTAACCCTACTTTAAATAACAGTATTAATACTACCCCTGTTGATAATATCTTATCTAGTTATAGTTCTATCTTTCTATCTATTAATACCTCCAATTCTATTGTATTTAACTTTTTTTCTAAAGTAGAGATTTGGTACACTAACTGGATCAAATTTTCTTCACACTCTTTTATATTTTTACCTACCCCAAAATCTAGGTGAGCTTGGCCACTCTGGTAAGTTTAGGTCGCAGATAAGTATTTAGGTTTACTTAGATATATGTCTAAGTTCTTTTTCTTAGTCTTAAATTTAAGTAATAAAACATTTTCCGGATATGTAAAAGGTTTTTGTTAAATCTAATAAAGATAAGAGCAAGGTCTCACCTTTAATATAAAAAAAAAAGAATAATTAACATTGTTCTTCTTATAAAACAACACTCTACAATATGGTATTTAGCCAAATACCTCATAGTGATACAAATACATGTAATATTCTAATAATAAAAAATAAAAATTATAAAGTTCCAATTTGGATATTAATGATTCAGAAAGTTCTATCTTAGAAGGCACTGTAGTAGATGATATTGTAGATTCCAAATTAGAAAACTTTGGATTAGGTGATTTTGAATTTGGTGGTCTTGAATTAGAAGGATCTAAATCAGAAAGTTCTAAATTAAAATTGAAAAATTTAGATTTTGAAAACAGCTCTAAAATGATAATCATATCTGATTATAGTAATGAAATTATTAAGATCGATAATACTAATATTCACGAAATTATTAAAATTAGCAATTTGGAATTGATCAAAAATTGCAGTTCAGAGTCAATTGAAAATTAATAAAATACTATTCAAAAAAGAAAATGACAAGCCATTTCTGTTGAACTGCTTGAATTAAATAATGCCAATGTTAAATCCCAGAGAATAGTAAAAAATAATAAAGTATTTATTTTTTATTTTTTATTTTTTTATTATTATTTTTTTTTTAAGTAAGGTCTTTTTCTTAGTTCTTTTATTATTTATTATGCAGATTTTATATAGTAGATTTACATAATTGTTTTAGAGGAAGTGAAGATAGAGCTACTTTACTCTAGACCTAAATCTTAGCTAGGTAGGTCAAAGACCTTTAGTCTATAAATCTAATATAAGTTGTAGATTTATGTTATATTTTTTATATTGTTCAACCCATAGTATAAATCTGTTACTTTTGTGAGTTGTCAATTGGTATAACTGGCCTTGATTGTTTTTTTGTAGGCTGTAGCTTGATGCAGGTATTGCATATGTTGAGGTATCTAGATTTTCTTATAAATTTCTTTTATAATGAGGTGATAAAGTTCAGGGGCGAGGTTTATTGATGTTAGTTGATATCTAATTAGGAGGATAGTGTCTTGTGTTATTACTCTAATGGGTATTTGGTTAGTTATGTGGGTTTGCCAAAATGCTTATGCAAATTTGTTAATATCTATTATAGTTAGATTCTTAGTATTACAGAATTGGTTAGTAATTTCTAGAATGATGTTATGAAGGTTAGTTGTATTTGTAGTACAAGTAAGCCAATAGATGTTGTTTTTAGATGAGTTGAGACAACGTCTACAGATAAAGGATCTGTATTTGTGTAGATGGCATGTGTGTAGGTTTAGTAAGTTGGGTAGTTCTTGCATAATTAGCTTGGATTTGAAGTTTATTGTTTTTGATTTTGATGGGTTTGTTGATCAGTATATAGGTTTGTCTTCGAATTGTAAATATTAGAAAATAGTTAGCTATTTAATTGTTAGGTTGTGGTGAAGCCAGGATTGAGTGTAGTTTTGGTTAAACCAATTTTTGATATTGATAATAGTATGAATTTTCTTTACTAAGATTTTTTTTTTTTTTTGGTGTTAAGGTGACCTCTACAGTCGAGAACTTTTTATTAGACTTATTAACTTCAGATTATATAGTTACAATGAGGATATATCAAGCCACATGTGTACTTTTGGTACCTAATTTAAGTAGTCCGCCTGGGTTCTACACTAGCCACCATATCTGCAACCTAACTAGGAAATTATCTATTTAAGCTCTTTAATTATTACTAATGAGAGTACGACTAGCCATACATGCAACTTTTGGTTGCCTATTTAAGTAGTCTGCTCTAGGTTCTACACTAGCTACCGTATCTGCATCCCAACTATGAGGATACCTATTTAAACCCTCTGGTCACAACTGCTGTCCATTCCTAAACTAACCAAAATGTAACTCACTATTCATATGTAGATTTTGCACCTACCTTAGGACTTACTAACCATTTCTGGCTAATCTGTCCATGAGGTAAACCTAACAGAGTAGTCCATGTCCCACACATGTTTATACTTGCATGTTTAGTAATTTCCTTATAACTAGTACCTGTTGTGCTACTGTCACCAGGTTCGTATTTCAAGCTATCCTTTAGAATACTGCTATAACCTGATCTGTATCTCAAGCCACAACCTTCTTAATTAGTCTTTCATTAGTACTTTTCGCTCTTGTAAGGTTTGCATAACCCCAGTACGCACATTCAGACTTTCTTTCTTCCTTGGATTCTTTACTGGTCTCTCTCTTACTTCCAGCTAGCAACCCGGAAGGGTTGGTCTGCCCAGGCTTTAGGTACCTTACGGTCTTCCTTCCTTTGGTACATACTTCCAGAGCACATGTCCTTTTCCTCTGGTTGGTAACCTAGCAATTCGGCTGGTGTGTTCCCCCACTTAAGGACCTGGTCGCTTGGTTCTCCAGTTTAGGTCTCTAATTCCAAATTTGGTCTTCCTGTAGCACTATTGAAGATCATACTACCTCCCTACTGGGACTTGCCAAACAGGTTTTTGGTAATTCTAGTTTCCTGGATTTATTGCGCCAAAGCTCCCATTCGAGAGGGTGTGACCAAGATTACAGATATCTGATCTAACTGATAATCTTAACATTAACCAATACAGATCTAGTATTTTCAAAATTGTCATCTGTGAGATTTGAACTCTAGAGCTGCCATCTGGAGATGCGATAACTCCACTACTTCACTAAGTCGCCACACCCTTCTTTACTAAGATTTTTGTATAATCTAACACAAGTATATTATCATATTTTGAAAAGTAAATATTATTAATGATAGATGAGGGTTAATCTCAATATTGGTGATAGTGTCAGTCATATTTTGTATGAGAGCTTAGTTTTGGTGGTTTGTATAGTTAGATATTTTGTGAGGATTAATACTCGAATGGCAATTAGTAGTGAAGAGTTTGGTTGTCAGTAGATATTGTTTGTGGCTTTAGCAATAATGTCTGTAATAGTGGTATTGTGTTTTGAATAATTGTTAAATTAGTAATAAGATATATTTTTGTATCAGTTGGTGCAATCAGGGCAAAAGTGTATAGTGCTATTAAAGCAATTTTTTGCAGACTAGGCCAAGTTGAATTTTGCATTATCAGTTTGAAGGTGTAGTGCTTGAATAATAGTGTTGTTGATGGTTTTCTTTGATTAGAGATTATTTGGGTAAAGATTATAATTTTGGCATTGAATCTTTTTTGGTTAGAGAATCATAAGTATGTTGTCTAGTTTTTTTCCTCAATATTGATAAAAGTGCGTAATAGTTAATAAAAGTATTGGTGATTGTATGATATAAATTTGCTTGGGTTAGTAGGTTTGATTAGTGGGCTAGGAGTTGGGGGTTTTGTCTCTAGATTTTCATGCCAGATGTGTTTCATTTGAAATACTGCGTTTTTGGATAACTAGAAGGAGCATTTTAAGTTATTAGTTAAAAGGTCATGGCAGCAATAGTGCTAGCAGTGAGAGAGTTGGTTATTAGTATAGTTAATGTTTTAGAGCATAACTTTGTACAGGTTTTCTTTGGTGAATGATATCTTGCCAAAGATATTGTTGTGGGCTATAATCTATTGGTGGTTTGCTATTGTATTGGTCTATATGTATGGGTTGGGTTGGGTTGTATAAGTATTAGTGATGGTGAGGCTATTTCTTTAAGCGTATTAGTAATTAGATTAAATATTTGAGGCTACATCCTCTTGGTATTTTTTGGATATTGTAATAGAAGTGGTTCCAGCTAAGTGTACTTGAGTTGTTAAAATTTGTAAATTGTTCAATATCTCAGATTTTGTGCCAGTTGAGTTGTTGCTTTATATATACTTTATTTTTTAGTAAGAGATAATAGGGTTAATTAAGTGTCCAGATGATTCTAAGGGGATTGGGTATAGATTAGCGGGGCGAGAGAATTGGATATTGAGTTTGTGAATATTGTTGATAAGGTGTGTAGTAAAGGTTTTGAATTCTTTGTATATAAATTGTAGTAGGTCAGTCAAGATTAAGCAGTTGGTATAGGCATTATTTTGTAATTGTTGTAGGTATAACTGAAATGTTGGTACTCAGATTGTTGAATTGAGGAGGTTGTTTAGAATTGATATATGATATGATTGTTGAAGTTGTTCTGGGTATATCAAGCTATATATTTGGAGATGGAAGAGAATTGAGTTTGGTATATTTCGGGCAAATAAGACTTTTTGTTTTACAATATTAGTGCAATACCATGATACATATTGACAATTAGTAGATGTAAAGTAGTTGTTTGATAGCTGATATCTTAATCTTGCTATTAAAATGGAATTGATTATATAAATCACTTGCTTCTTTGTAATTTTAGTATATCAGAGTTTGTTTAGTTCCTGAATAAAGTTCTGTTTGATTTTCTTCAAAGTGTACTTGTTATCAATAGTGTGCTCGATGAAGATACCAAGGAATCAAAATAGTTGTTTGGGTGGTAGGTTGTAGATTGGTTAGCCTTGAAAGGTAATAGGTGTTGTGTCTTTGTAGTTGTTATGAAATAGTATGGATTTGTAGGGATTAACTGCAATTTTTGCTATTTGGTAGAAGGATGATACAGTTGTGATTATTTGTTGTAGGTTGGCACAGTTTGATGAGATCCAGGTTGTCATTTATGTAGGCAATAACTGATGTTGAGGCTAATAGATGAGAGTTCAGTTTGTGAGATTTTAAGGTTAGTTTATATCCAGAAGATTTTGTTGAGATATATTGTATTAGAGGGTTGTAAAAGATATGCTATAAAATAGGGGAGATAGTTTCTTCTTGGTCAATGCTATCTTCGACTTTGTAGGCACATGTTTTTTCAAGGGAGGTGATAACTTGGTTGTAACAGTTGAGTAAAATGTTGGATATCAGGTTGATAAATTGTTGGGGTACTCCAATATGAGTTAGGGCTTGTTGAAGGAGAGGAATGTGGATTGTATTGTAAGTTTTAGATATATCTTGTAGTAAGATCCAAAGGTCTTTGTTGTTAACATAGGCATCCTCTTGTAGATGTGTGATTATTTGAATAAGTTATACTGTAGATATTAAGGGTAGTTGTTAGCAGGGGATAGTAGGTTGTATTTAGTTAAATTGTGCTTAAGCAATTAGTTAGGATTTTTGTAAAGATCTTTTGTAAGTATTTGATCAGGATAATAGGACAGGTTAGGTTTAGGTCTCCGCTTTAGTAGCCTTTCTTTGGTATTGGCCAAACTAGGCCTTTGTGCCAGGTATTAGGGGTTGCTTGTAGACTAATACAGGCATTGAATATTTTTTTAAGTATTTCAATTGCAGTAAGTAGTAGCTTTTTTAGCATTTCATTAGAGATTAGGAATAGGCCTGTAGTCTTATTGGTGGGTGAAGCACTAATTGTTTCTTGGATCTCTTGTAGAGTTATAGTAAAAAGTAG